ATGGTGTGGGTTTGCCCATACCAAGAACGGCAGGATAAACCCTTTTCTCAGGAGGCAAGAACCACAGGAATAATTTTCCATAATTGAAGTACTTGCGCCTTACTTTTCTTCAGCGTGAGCCTTAAAAAAGATTTAAACTATGAAAGGAAAAATTTCATTCTCATTAGTGTCTATAGAGTGAATGATCTCACGTAGAGGTGGAGAGATTAGAGGAACTGTGACTGTGAAATAACCTCATAGAAGAAATATGCAAGAGACAAAGAGTTTAGGTGGAAATCAGAAATTAGATTTGATTACTAATCAGGATCAAAATATTGAAAAAAATGGCAATTTAAAAAATGTATGTTACTTCTTATATTAATGTATAAATAAGTTGTGAGAGATACTGAAAAATCTCCTGTTAGATATAAACAAGAACACTGATGTAAATATTATTAAATGTCTGTAAAGAATGGAAACTACTTTACCAGGGTCTTATGTAAGAATAAATGTATAAGCATATTATTTTTTCTTTTTACTCTTATTTCCTTGTTTCCTGTGGCTCTAGGAAGTAACTGTTGAAAAATGTCTTTAGGTACATAGAAGACTGAATTTTTTTTTTTACCCCTATAGATGTGATAGAAAGAAAAACAAAATCAAATTTCTTCTCAGAGGTTGGGGATTTAGGTCAGCGGCACAGGGCTTACCTGGCAAGCACAAGGTCGTGAGTTTGATTCCCGGTACCGGAAAGAAAACATAGAACAAAAAAACCAACTTCATCTCATACAGACTTCCAACTCCTAATTATTTGGGACTTAAAGAGGGTCTTTCTGTGTAGACTACCTTGACCTTCTCATTCTAGAATCGTAGATTATCATTTAATATCTCATGCTGTTTGCACTATACTTTTACTCACTTGCACTTTTTGTCTAGTTTCTCCTCTTCTTCAGCCTTATCACATAAAAACTGTAGGTTGGAACCACTTTTAAAATGATCTTTCTTGGATACTGAGCAGCAGGGAGCATTGTTATTCATTTGGAGCCAGAAACTTATTTCAGGGTTTCAATTACAAAAAGCCTAGGGGCCCTCTTTATTAAGATGAAACATAAATTGTATCAAGATGTGCTAAACCACTTAATATTTTTACGGTGAAATTTGAACATTTTAAATAGTAGTTGGGAATGTGTATAAGGTCTTCACAATCCATGCGTAAACTCTGACCTCCATTCCACTAACATTGCATCATGGGGTCCTTACTCCTGTGGCACCTGACAAATTACCTCACGAAAGGAAATCAAGAGTCCTTGAATTTTCTTGTGTGAAGAGACATACTATGGCATTTTCTTGTGAATCCTTTTTTGCAGGTTTTTCTCTCCCTTAGGCACAATTTGTTTTTATTTCTTTGTTTTAGTTTTAGAAAAAGTTTTAAAAACAGACTGACAACTTAAATAATTCACTTAGCCCTTTATTTTCCTATACAATTAAAAATACACATCTAAATTTAATTACATATTTACAGAACCATGTTTTTTAGTTTCAAGTGACAGCTTGTGAACCTAAGTAGAGAGAAATCATGACAGTTTGGATTTGGGATGTTAGTTTTATGTGTATGAAAATATACAGGCATGTGTCTATAATTATATCTCTGTGCACTTAAAAATTCTGACTTCAAGAAAATACTATCTCTTTGATATAATAACTGTATCTTTTTGAATAGAATTATAAAGATGAGTGTTCTAAAATTCAATGTATATATCAAACATAATTTTTATCTTATTATTGATCTTATATGGCTTTATAGTAAAGACAAACCTCCTTTATTTCAGTTATGCTACAAATTATAGTTTCATTTTACCTGCTGTGCCTCTTCAAGGGATGTTAATTATTTAGGTGATAAAAGCTTATCCAAACTGTTTTAAAATATGAATTAGTAAAAGCAAATAGAAATCAGCATCATTAGGTTATATGAAGCAAATTATAAAATATTAATGGCTTGGATTTAGTCAAAGAGACCATTAGAATGTATTGTCAATATAATTGGAATGATGTCAGTTATATTTTGAAAACATTTTAATATGTCTATTAAATTTAATATGTCCATTAATATTTTAATGTCTATTCTTCATTTTTAAGTTATATAACTAATTTTTAGAAATTTCATGGATGCAGTTCTAATATAATAGTCTTTCCTTCTTTACCTTTTCTCTCTGTAAAGATAAAAAGAAAAGCAAATATTTTACTATTTTCTACTAATACACTACAACAATCGTGCATGCCTCCCCATGTTTGTAGCAGCACAACTCATGATAGTTAAGTCTTGCAGGCAGACTGTGTGCCATCTGTGGATGAATGGATGCAGAGTGTGGTATTTACCCACAGGGGAGTACTGCTCCGCCGTGAGTAAGGCTAGATAGACTTGGGCCACTTGCAAGAAGGGCGATGCACGTTGGGAGTACAACGTTAAATGAAATGGGTTGGACACACAATCTCAAACATTAAATTGTTTCTCTTGCATGAAAAGTCCACATTATAAATAAAGAGCAAACATATAGAGCATGGAACTAGGGAGAGGGATCGTCCTAAGTGAGAGAGGAATGGGAAATGGAGGGTGCAGGGAGCAAGGGGAAGGAAAGGGAATGACAAAGGAAATTGATATATGTTATGTGCAAGTGTGAGTTTAAACAAGGAGTGTAGGTATTGTGTATTGTAAAAGTGTACTAACACACACACACACACACACACACCATCTCGTCACCAAAATATATGTAGCAGGTTTTTTTCCATCACCAATCAGTTACTCCAGGGACACTACCAGAGTGGGCTATAATTTAGTCAATTCCTGACAGTATCTACCCCAAGGTCGTGTCAGATGTCCCAGGGTCCAGCCCCAGGGATGGTCTCCACTTTAGAGGCCGATGGTTAGTAGTAAATTGTCAAGTGTATTTCTCATTTACCAGCTAGTAACTCATGTTTCCAAGACTCCCTTCTTGGGTTTGGAAAACTTGCCAGATGCCTCATCAAACTCTGGGAAATCATACAATTAAGGTTACCCATTTGTTACATAGGATCTTACAGAGGACCCAGACAATCTGAAGTGAAGAAGGTAAAGTATTTTAGAGAGGATGTGAGAGGCATGTCTTCTCCCAGAAGTCCCACATTCTGGAACCTTCAAATGATAAGCAACGCAAAACCGTTTTGAGCCCTGCCCTTTCAGGTATTTAGGAAAGTGTTATTACACAGTTGGACACTGGTAATAATCTCAACCTTCAGGCCCTCTCCCACTCTGAGAGGGTCACAGGTGAAACTAAAAGTTTCCTCTAATTATGTAGGCTCTATTCTAAAACTATGATCACTGAATGTATCTCAGTAGAGTTTCTCATAGGAGTGCCTCATTAGAGCAAACGGTAGTCCTATAATCCAGGAAACTCCAAGAGATTCAGGTTCATTGTAAGGAACTGAGATAAATACTGAATATTTGAACAAAATATTCTCCTAGCACTCCTATCTAAAGAGGCTCAGGAGCACTGTGTCAGGAACAAGAGGCAGGAAGAACACATATATTTATTATATCATAGCATTATACTCCCTGCTTGTTTTTAATATCTAAACACTTGATTAGCAATTCTTCAGCCCATCTCTAATCTGCTTATTTGAACATTTTGTCAGTGTTTTTGTATTTCACTTGAAAATTTTGTCCCTTTGACCATTATTTTCAGAAAAATGTATTTTTTCTTATAGATATCCTACCCATAGACATTGGTTATGTTCTAATTACATACACTGTAACAGAATACAAATTCAAAACGTTTATGCAGTGAAGGAAGGCTTTTCAGAAAGTTTTTCAACAATTTAAAAAAACTAACTTTAAATGAGAAACTCTTTGCATGGAGAGACAATAAAATCCATCGCGCTGGAAAGCAACAGCTAGCGGATGCAGTATGGACTGCGGAGTTGGTCTGGGCTTTGAGTGCTTCTCTGATCATCTCTATTCTTATATGCAGTAAGTAAGGGTGTAAGACATATTCTCGGAAATGCTCTTTCAGAATTATAGAAATATATGCAAAACACTTATGACAGCTACTATCCTAAGCACATGTTAAGTATTAATAATCATTCTTCTTATTAACAATTATTAAAAAGCTAAAACATTGGCCATAAGACCGTACAGTTTTCTTATCCTTTCTACCCTAAAAGCAGTGAAGGAGGTGGAGAGTTTTGCTCTTGTTCAGCCGTGCTTAACTTCACCACTGCAAAAGTTTTAGTCACAAGCCTTAGGCAATGTCTTCATCCTATGAACATCGCTGTGTTCCTGTGCATTTTGAGGTGGTCATGCATTCACTAGGCAATATCATTGTATACAGCCCCTGCTGTGTATATGATTCTTTGCAGCTAAAACTCTGTTATGCAGTGCATACTTACATTTTATTAAAATAAAAATTCAAAAATTTCCTCCTGTAGAATGAGAAAAGTGAGAGAAGAAAAGGTCAGGTGGTTTAAGGAAAAGCTGTGTCTAATGATGGCCCCAAGTCCAAAGATAGAATTTCTGTTACTTCTGAGAAAGACTTGGTACAGTAGCGCAGGAAGAGTCCTTCAATGTGAGGCGGGAGCCATTAGCAACAGGTCTCTGGGCTAGCAGGGCACCAGCAGGGGCTGCTGCAAGGAGCAGAACTTTAGTTCCTTAGTGCTAATGTCTATTTTAGATAGAGCGAAGGGTGGGGAGGGGAAAGGAAAGGGGACTAAAAAGAACTAAATTGCACTATGCACACGTGTCAACTTCCCACAATGAATATAATCGTTATATACTGCAAACACATACTGATAAAATGTTTTACAAGTGAAATTGGATTTGCCACACCTCTAAATCCTTTGAGTGAGTGGAGAGTGCTCCTTTGGTTGACTTGTAGCAGTTAGCATATAGTTATGCATGAATGGTTGAGACATGTTCATAACTTGCCTGACTTAATTCATGAAGGATGTAACATTTACTGTTTCCTATCTCTATGCGTGTCTGTCTCCGTTAGGCCAGAACCTGTTTTGTGGACAAAAGACGGTGGAGAGTTACCAGATCCGGATCGCATGGTGGTGAGCGGCAGGGAGCTGAACATTCTTTTCCTGAACAAAACGGACAATGGTACATACCGCTGCGAAGCCACGAACACCATCGGCCAGAGCAGCGCTGAGTACGTCCTCATTGTACACGGTGAGCACCTTTCTGGAAATACTAGATGTGAAAGGATGGATGACCAGGAAAATGGTTGAAATTTGTCAAAATCTTTATAACAATAAGCAAAATTAAAAAGGGTTTTCTTTTTTTCAGAAGGACTTCCCATAAACATATCTACAAATTTTTCATTTATTATGTTCCAAGACCCAGTAATTAAACAAAATCACAACATACAATGATTTTTGCAAAAACCTTCTTATAAATATTTTGTTTAACTTATGGTGGTGGTTAGTAAATTATATTAATAATTGTCTTTAGATTTTATTAATAAATGCTTTAGTCTTAACCTAGAATCGTGAAAACTATTACTTAATCTAATTTCAATTGTATTATAAAAAATATACTTTAAACTATAACTGGCTCCAAAAAAAAGTAGTTTGTCACTGAAATATGGCAAAAGCAGCACTATGTGTGAAATATTAATGATTCATTTCTTTTGTTATTTTAAAGATAAAAGAATAAAAACATATTAACAAACAGAGATAAACAAAACAACACCAAAACAATAGCAATGACACAGAATTTTAGACAAGGTGATAGGAAATTAGCAATGGTTATTGTATTACATATTGTTATCTTCAATTTGGTTACTCAGCTAAACAAATATAGGCATGTAAGATTGATCAAATGATTAAACATAAACTAATTTGTTATAAACAATAATTTGACATTTCTGTAGATATTTTTCTTGACAGCATTTATCTCACAACTTGTTGACCTATAACAAAATGCGAAGAATTATCAAAGTAAAAAAATCATCTTTTTTGTCAGCCTTTAGAATTCATAGTAGTTATTCATAATATAGCTTTAACATACTGTGAGATGAAGCTGAGTTTTATGAGATTGATAAATTCTTCAATAAATAAAATTAGACAGAATTTTTAAATGCAGTCTTTCTCACTATTTATTATATATATATGAGGTAACATTATGAATCTTCAGGAGAACCCATGACAGACTATCACAATTCCTTCACGAGTTTCACAGAGTGAAACTTTTCTTGGAGAATTATTTTAGTCTATGTATTATTACAATAACATAAGCATTATTGGATAAAGCAAAGTGCTGTAATAAATCCACTGAATCTTAGGAATCATGAAGAATGCATTTATTTGCTCTCTTTCCCATGAATCTAATAGAATACTGTAAACTAATCATGGATGTGTTTTATAGTTTTCTTAAAAAATTTGGAAAGTCAGTCCTAAATCTTCACAAAGATATTTAATTTTAGAGGAAATTAATCTAATGTATGTATTTTTGAAAGTCTTTATTTTGCTATGATGCTGGCAAAATTAAAGTATGAAGTAAATATATAACATTGCTATGTTTATATAGTTTTGCAAGATCTTTATAGTTTTAATACCACATTTCTATGGTAGGCAAATAAGGGCAATCAGGGAATCCTCTCCACATATAAACCTCTGGAAAACAGTAGAGCCGTGTTAAATTTCTAGTATCTCTAGATACTAGAACTTTCCAAAGTTCAACTTTGGAAAGGATTAACCTAATGGAATTAGGATGATAAACTGGAATTGCTGTGGTAAACCTGTGTAGACAATCCCTACCATTCTTCCCGCTAGGGAGAATGTAATAACCACTGGGTGTGTCAAGATGACAAATTGAATTCTTCTGGCAGGGGGTAAGAATAGCTTCTGCTTTAGGCCAACTGCACGTTTAGAAGATGTGTCCACATATGTTCATTCTATCTGATTCACTCTAAATTTTCCAAGAATTTTTCTCACCTAATAGTCTCTGACAACCTAGAGGTATGTTGTATAGCATGTCACATTGCATTGAAAGCAATACAACATAAAAATATAGAAAATTAGAAAGGAAGTGACAGAAGAAATAATATACTCAGATAAAAAGTATGTCACTTGCTTTTTTAAAAAGTAAATCCAGTGAGAAAATTCATATACTTTCCCAGTGTTTACAAGCTAGTCAACAGCATGGTTTCCTAAATAGCTAAGCTACTTTTAGGTAGTTGGCAGTTGACATATTTCTAATAAATACTTCTCTGAGCACTTTGTAAGAAGTCATTTTTGGCTTTGCTTTTTGAACTCCAATTCATTGAAAGCACCCCATAGATTAATGCTATTCATGCTGCTAGATAAATGCTGTGAAGTTCAACAGTAGTTTACCTAGGGTTATTGACACAAGTAATGAGAGGCTCAATGAAACAGTGAAGCCATATTACACTGTGTTTAAAAAGGGCTCCAATTGGGTTCATTACAAACTAGAGTTCTTGTTCCCCTTTGCACAGTGAGTATAATGTTTCATTAGTCACTGGTTGTATAAATATAAAAGCTACTCTCTTCTGTTAATGGTTTGACTGTTCCAAAACCACACTAAATGATGAAATTTGAGTGGCATTTCAATGTATAATGAAGGCTGTATGCATTTCGGAATGGAGTGATAAGCGATCATTTGAGAGAACTTTACCCTTTCATCTTTTACACCAATGTTGATTTCACATTAGCTGTGATAATTTAATATAGCTGTAGCATAGAGGGTTTTCTGATGAACTGAGACCCATGGCTGAGATTACTACGGTTGCCTAGGTTCTACCGATCCTTAATAGAAGGCTGAGGCCTTTGTCATGAAATCATGTGTAATCTAGATACCATGCTAATGGTTACATTTTATTCTCTGGTGTTAATGGAAATGCACTATTTAAATATTACCACATTTAATTGTTAGTAGTGCTGATATTTTTAGTTACCTACAATGCAGGAATTTTTCTCTTCCTAAATATACCTTTGAAAGTATATTATTGTTATTAGTGCTGATATTTTTAGTTATATAAATTTATATATATAATTATATACAATTGTTATTAGTGCTGATATTTTTAGTTACCTACAATGCAGGAATTTTTCTCTTCCTAAATATACCTTTAGCATTAGAACTACAGATGGTTGAATAAAACTGCTAGTCTAAAATTCACCATCAGTGAAAGGGGTAACAAAAGATGGAATACAAATAACTGTAAGGTAAAAAATTTTACCTATGTAATATTTCCACTGTAGAGGGTTCACTAGAAATGGACAATTACATTAATAAACTTATGAATGGAAAATTAACCTATTAAATTAGTAGCCATACTACTTAATTCATGTAAGCCTAGTCATTTGTTGTACTTTGTATCTTTATAAAAGTGTTGAAGTTCCTTGATATTACTATTTTTATGTTATATATGTATTTAAAAACATCAGCCATAATTAAATTCTTTTGAAACATTATGTTCCCATGAAATCAAGACAACAATTCATTGATTCAGCAAATAGATATTTAGTGATTACCTTGAGTGCAGACACTATGAAGCAAAGGTGAATGGCATTCAAGAAGACTGTAGTTTAATATGTAAGAGAATTTATGGACTCAATAATAACACAAAATAGAAGTCACACAATTATGTAGTCACATAATCATGTAGATGATCACAGTTTATAAGTGTATTCTGAGTCTTTGAAATTTCAAAAAATTGTAATAAAGCTTCTGTTTTCTTCACAAATAAATGACATATGTCATAAGTGGATGTATCCACCATAGTACCAGGTATGTAGATACATTATAAATCTAACTAACATTATAATACTACTAGTATCATTATACAAACGCCATCTCAACTCCACATCTTCCTGAAGAGTTGCATCCAATTTGTTGCCATAAATCTCCCTTCAGTATTTTTCTGTTATTTTATAGGAATAATTATAAAATAAATGTTTTAAATTTTAAAACATTGTAATAGTAATAATATGATTGCTAGAAACATCTTTTTTCAGTTTAATGAATGGTATGAAGGTAGTAACTGTGCCTTTTGAGCTTTAAAGAACCAGAAGACTGCTATATCCATTTCGCTTAGATTTCATTAATATTTAATGGCAAAAATACTCAGATATAAAAATCTGTACAATCAGATATACAGACTGACTGTTGCTGAAAACCAAGCTTCCCAGTTCTGCTGCTCATTCCAACATGTACCTCATTCAGACATGAGGTAAAATGCAAGTTCTTTTTCCCCTCGGGTGCTGATTCTTCACTGCAGTTAACTTGCTTACCATATCAGAAAAGCTAATTGAGTCATAGAGAGTTGCCTTTTCAACTTTAATAAATATTTCTAATCCATCTGTTGTCTCTTCCAAATACTTAACCTATATGCACAAGATAAATACAACTACTTTAGGGTCATTAATAATTTATCTCCCATTTATCAAAATAGTATATACATGAATGAATATTGCCATAATGTTGAAACAGTTTAGAAATCTCACAAAATAATATTGTAAATTTGTTTTTAAACTTACATCATCATATAACTAAGCCACCATGATGGCCTTAGACACACCTTTATTACAAGGACATATCTTACACGTATCCATATCATCATTAGCAATATTCTAGAAGCTAATGAACACCCATTACAATAAAATAAAAATAGTATTTGTGTGCTTCATAGAAAATGTATAACTAAACTAAAAGTTGGCAGCTTTTATAACAGGAATTTACTACTACAATTATCCAGAAACAAAACATTTGTTTTGTTTTGCATTGGAAGGCTACATGAATTTTTTGTTGAGTTGTACTATTAGGCAAGGTGATCCTTCAGATCATTGGGGAATAAAAAGACTGGATATTTGAACTCATATCAGTGGGTGTGGAGAAGGAAAAAGAAACATAGATAATGGACAGATGTACAGCCTCGCAGACATTAAAAAGGGATTCAGCTAAAATCTGTTCCCTCACTTAGAAACAGACCTACCAGTTGGTAAATTAATTCCGTGTATTCATAATGAGCATTTTTCCTTTGGAGCAGTTTTCTTTAGAAGCATAGATGGAAAATGTATGGTGTAGGAAGAAAAGGATAGGAAAGACATCCATATGGAGCAACAAACAGTGCGTTAATGGGTGAGCTCTATGGTTGCTGCTCTCATCTCTGGTTCAGAGTTTCCAGGCAGTAACTAGTTGGACGATTC